TATAATAACAACATGCACAATGATAGAGGGGCTGAAATGCTATTCTCTAAAACGCAGAATTTTTTAGGTGATCAAAGATGTTCTACAACAGAAGTAAGGAAATTTTAGTAATGCTAATTACGTTGCAATGTTTTATTGCAACAAAAATAACAGTGAATAAATCAATTGCAGAAAACCCAGTGAATAAATCAATTGCAAAAAACCTTTAGGTGTCGGGGGTTTGCAACATTACTAATTAAGGCATCAATAAGACAATAATGTTTTTTTGAACCAACCCTCCGTATTCGTATCTTAAGTGCAATTTTTTTTACTGAAAGTCCATAAAACTTTCATGAGATTATAGCCAAAATCAGTAACCAACATAAGAACATCACACTTGTACCATAATTGGTCACATAGTTTTGGGTCCAATTAAAATTCTTCCAAATCTGGAACTTGTATATTATATAACCAATCTCACTAGCCATCATTAATAATGGTTAGGAAGCTAACTTGAGTCAAACACATTAGTTCATTAAATTGACTCATCCGCAAATATTAATCTTCATTTCCATCATCATACATCAATTCAACAAACACCATTGCCCCAATTAACTACGTATCTACTCATATGCAAGAAACAAAATCAATAAACAAACTTATTAGTGTTTATATGAAGAAAGAGTTATCAAAAGAAACAGATTAATCCATCTGCCCATAAAACCCAAAGGTAAAAGAATATATCTGATTGGAACTAGACACTACTAAGAGAAGCAGTAAGTACAAGATACAGTGAATGCCATGGGAGCACCTCACGTGACTCTCTGACCAGGTTCACTCTGATCAAGTACACAATAAGAAGAGACCACGTACACAAAGCTCACGTGAAAATGTTTAACACAGGGGCCTCTGGTAACACAATTTCGTAGAATGTACAAATTTATACGAAACCCATCCGTACTTATTAATTGCGCAAGTTATCAGAAAGAGGAAATTACTGGTAGGTCCAAGATGGGTAAGGCGTGGGTAAATTTAATAGCTAGGAGAACACTCGAAGCCGTACGATTCAATAAATGTGTAGGGTGATTCTCACAAGATAATGTATTGTTTTTATTTTGTATAAATAAATGACATGATTTATCATAAACATCTATGTACACTATTATTTATAAAAAGCCCTCTTTTAGTTTGTATATGAGCTTCATATTCATAATTAAAATGACCCCATAATTGGATAAAAAGTAAATGCCTTCACACTTGAAAAAAATAAGTAAAAACATCTTCACACATGGAAAAATCCACGTAAATGTCATGAAATTGGAAATATCCGATAAGAAAACTAAAAACTGTTTCTTTCCTTAACAATTTGATCATACTGATCTCTCAAGTTCCATGTCCTGCGAGTATCATGTGCACAGAAATACTAGGAATTATAACTGCAATTATTTTTTTAGGGAAATTTTATGCAGTATTGGAATCTCTAATAGAAACTGCCAGCTAATTACCTATCACAGTGACAAAATGAGCTATGAAATTCTACTGTATATATATCATATTCTACTCTAGTACAGAACAAGGAAAAAGAAATATCATGGAATTTATGAGATAGTGACAAATCAAAGACAGAGTAAAGGAAAAACAAAACCATCTAAATTCTCATACTCAGCGCTTGTGTTTTGTTGCTAGTTGTGTGTAAAGAGTCACTCATCCAAAGAAGCAGGAAGTAGGAATCTTTCAATGCTACTGTATCACGACACAGGAACTCTAAAATTTTATCTTTTTTTTTACTTCAATTTTTCTAAGGGGTTATATCGTTCAAATTCCAAAATTTTAGGATATGTAATCTCATGGAGAATTTCAAATCCATAGGGTTTTATACATACTTTGATATTTCTAATATTTTGTTTGGTTCAATATTATTATACGAAATCAAATCCTGAAATTTGTCATATTTTATTTGATGAAGCGGCAGGTATAAATTGCATTTTTTTTTTAAAAGCAACACAAAATTCTGAACCTTACGACTGGTGATCTTGACTACGAAACAGTTCCAACTGTGTTCAGTTAACCAATTAAAGTCGTATTAATGCCAACTATTAAGAAAATTAATTTTCCCATAGAACTATGTACTAGTTTACTCATGATTAAAAATGATTTTTTTACCATCAAAATCAGTACATTTCGTCCTACAAAAATTGCAAAGCAAAAAAGACAAAAAAAAAAACAACAAAACTTTAAAAAATGACTTAAAAATTTATAATTAAAAAACCAACTAAATTATACTAATAATTTTAATTAGTAGAAGAAAGATCTTTTAGCATATCACTGAGCATCAAACTACTGCAAGTTCGCGTTTGACTCTTGGAGAACACCCACAGCAAATTAATTTCCTGAAGTATTTTGATACTCGTGAAGGATCAGGAAGAATTTCTCCCATCAAACCAAAAATTAAAAAAAAATGTAACAATATAGTTATTTGTTAATAAAAAAAATAAAAGAGAGAGAATCTCGATCACATACCAGCAATTTCTTAACGAGCCCTAGATTCCCAGCGTGGGAAGCGAGAAACAGAGCGGAGACCTCGGTCCGGTACTCCTCGTACTCAACCCTGACCTCATCGGCGACCTCCTCTCCGATCACAACCTCGGCCTTCCTCCCCTTGAAGCAGACGGCTCCGGCGAAGTTCACGTCGACGGCGGGATCGACGAGGCACTCCGTTGCCGCCTTGAGATCGCTCCTGTGGGTCGCATCGACGTCATTTTCCAGGGCTTTCAGGTGGGATTTTTGGGGGTTTAATGATGATCAGGCATGGATTGTTTCTTGCTTGAGAAGCTGAGGTTTTTTTTTCTTTTTTTTTTTTTCCTTTTTTTCTTTTTTTCTCCGGTGCTTTTTCGGTCTTGGGAAACTTGAAAGAGGAGGGCGCCAGGGGGAGGGTTAATTTATAGGGCACAGCCGCACAGGGGAGGATTTTTTTTCTTTTTTTTTCAAGGTATTTTAAATGTTTTTGCTTTGATTTTACCGCAGAAGTAAAAAAGAAGAGTGAGAGTGGGGAGCGAGAATAAAGAAGCTGATTTGATGCGGTGGGGACCACGAGGAAGGCCACGAAAGCTGGGAGGGGTTGAAATCGGATAGTACGGTTCTACTTGCTTTGATGCTGCGGAGAGAAATGAGAAACGAAAGCCGATTTCTTTTTCTTTCTAAGAGTTGGTTATTATGTATACGATATACTAAAATATACTAGAAGTAATATCTTAAAATATCACCGGTTAAAATTATAATGTTTGTTTTTGTTATGTTTTTTAGAAAATATCATGTCATGGTGTTTTTTTTCAAACATGTTTTGAAAACACCATTTATAGTTATTATTTATAAAGTGAAGGCAGCGGGCGGCGCCACGATCGGCGTGCATGTGCGGCGCCGACGAAGCGTCGGGGCCGCGCGACGGCGCTCGCGCGTCGAGTGGGCGCTGCGGCGGCGGCATGCGGCGACGGCTCGTCCGGGCGGTCACGGTCAATGCGGCGCGTATGCGGATGACGACCACGTTGCGGGCCGGCAACGGTGTCGGGCGGTTTGCGATGACTGACCCGTTGGCGGCCGGACGGGCGGCGGTGTGGCCGGGCCGCAGCCGGTGGCGGTGCGACGGTGAGAGTGGTGGCGGTCGGTTGACCGACGGCGGCAGTCCTCGTCTTATTCCGAACCACATCCCGTCCTACGTGCTCTCCGTCCCCCTCCTCTCGCCGTCACCCTGCGCGCAACGGCACGACTACCTCTGTGCGGCCGGCCCGCCTCCTGGCTCCCGCCCGCGTGCCTCCTCTCGCCCGACACGGCGGCGGACTTGCGGGCCTCGGGCGGCGAGCCTGACGATGGCGGGCGCGCCAGCCATCGGCTCGGGGCGGCGACGATCGGCGGGCGAGAGGCGGGACCGGCAGCGGGTTCCGACCCGGCAATGTGGGTGACAGTGCCTGCGAACGGGGTGCGGCCGCTACCCGTGCTCGGGCGGCGGACGCATGACCCGCGGCCGGCATGCGTGCGGTGGCGGGCGGCGGGCCCGACACGGACGACGCGGCATACGTCGGCGCGGCAGATGCACGCGCAGCGCCGGCAGTGCCCGCGCGGGGGATCGGGGGGCGGCCTGCGCGACGCAATGGGCGGCCGGCCGGCGGGCAGATGACCGGACGACGTGCGAACCCGATCGCCGCTGTCTGTGACGAGCGGCCGCTGCTTTCTGCGCGGCTTCAGTGGATGGCGGCCGGACGACGATGGCGCGCGTCCTCGAGCCTCTGCACGCGCTGTTTAGCTTGCGGGCGAGCCTTGCTCTGATTCTCTCCATCGTGGCTCTGCTCTCCCATGTGCTTCTACCGCCGTCGTATAATGGGGGGCAAAATCTATGATTCCACCTCACTTTCTGCCCCTCGCTTTTTCACCTCGCACTCAATCGGTCGCTTGGGCGACGTCGCCGTGTGGCGGCGTACCATCTCCAGCCGCCCGACGGACTGAACTCCGCCCACACGCCCCCTGGGTGCGCGCTGGCGCGCACCTGCTAGGCTCGATGGTATGAAAAAACAGAATTTTAAAACACCTTTTTGGTGTTTTGAGAAAAGTGTTTATTTTTTGGAGTTTGTAAAGGGTCAAGTCAAAAAAACACCCCAGATGCCAAACGTGTTTTATTGTTTTTGTTGAAAACAAAAACAGAAACGGTAAAAATACCACGGTTGCCAAACGCTCCCTAAAAAATTTAACACGCGTTAATATTTTAGAGTATATCTATTATCTAATGTACTAAAATATGACCTTAAGTTGCTAGTTATTATAGGGCGG